CCTCCGACGAGTTCCTTGTACTCGGTACGATCTCTCGCATTGTGCCACGTACTGACAATATTGGCTGTAGAACCCACGCCCAAGAAGCGCATTCGCACAACCGACGCTCCCGACCTCATGCTTGCTCGCGCCAGCGATATTACCTAGGAGACTGACACGCTCAAGTAGTAGGCGTTGCATAAACCCGCCCGTAGCGCACTTCCTGCAGGTGGCAACGCTAAACCCTTAACTACATTATGAAACATCATGTGTATAGTCCGTGTGCGGATGCGAGATGCTGTCCCAGTACACTAGCATCTTTTTTAGGACAAAGACGCTGCGCTTTGGAAGACTTTTGATCTGACCCCATACGAGTGACGTCCATCCTCCCAACGACGAGCTAGTCCATTGACGTCTACTTCGTGGTGTGCTCGGACTGGCCCACCACTGCTACAGGCCCGGTACTGTAGGGCAGTCATGAGCCATGAGCCGACGCAGTCGCTGCACTCGGCTCTCTTATGTCGAACCGATGCATCCGGATGTGGGCGTGGTACACATTGTGATCGGCACCGTCTCGGTCGTCGGCGGTTCCATGCATCGGGTTTGAAGCCAGCTCGTCCTGTGATCGACGGCCTTGGTGCTGTCGGCGTCTCGGGTGTCGGCGGAGACGGCGCATCTCGCCCTTGCTGCCTCCTGCACTGGCATCAATGACATTTCACCACACGAGCAGGTGGCACCGACGAAGCGCGCACCCGCCTCTCTCGCTCTCTTGTCCCACTCGTTACACAGTCGACCTACAGTGTACACGACGGGCACGCTGCGACAGTTGTGTCATTTTCAGCATCCTTCTCATGCTCGCCGAACGCAGCCTGTGCCTCAGCGTCGATGACATCCTGAGCGCCGAGAACTTCCAGCTCACGGCCACGGGCGAGTCGCGCTACTCGCTCGACACGGTCGGGTCCCTCATCTCGGCCGACGTGCCGCCGCACAACCCGTTCCGCGAGTCGCAGTCGTCGGCCGGGTCCGGCTGGAACACGAACGGCCATGACGGCTTGGAGTGGACCACCGCGCTCACGCGTCCCAACGATGACGACCTCTTCCACGTCCCGTCCGAAGACGTCTCGTCGACGTCGACCGCGTGGACCACGACCGCGTCGGCGACCGCCAAGACGACGCCGGCGACGCTCATATCCGTCTCGCCCATGGAGCTGCACTTTGACGCCAACTTGGCGCCCAAGCACACGCTTGAGATCGCCAATGTCTCGAAAGCGCAGTCGATTCTCTTCAAGATCAAGACGCCGTCGAAGTACCGGCAGCACTATGTCATCACGCCCAACAAGGGCGTGCTCCGGCCGTTGAGCGCGCTCACCATCTCGATCGAAATTCCAAACCACGAAGCCAAGCGGCTTATTCAGACCAACACGCGCCAATGCACAACCACATGGGCCCACCCCGTGAAGCTCGAGCTGCTCAAAGTGCACGACGACGTCTACGACCAGCTCGAGTGCATGGAGTACGACGAGCAGCAGCAGCTCCACGCAACGCTATGGGCGGCCGCGGATACGTGGCGTCTCGACGAGAAGATGCTCACGTTCCACGTCAAATGCACGCGCCTTCTCTTCCTCGAAGCCGGCGTCTCGCCACTCGCGTCGCCGCTCCACGTGACCGGTACCACCAACCAGTTTGAGACGTGCCTCCACAGCCTGCGTCTCTACAGCCTCGAGAGCTCGGCCATTGTCTACTTGCACAACAAGGCGTCGTCGCCGGTCGCGTACAAGGTGCTCACGACCGCGCCGTCCCGGTACCGCATTTCGCCGTCGTTCCAGCTCGTGCCACCCAAAGCGCGCGCCGAGCTCCGCATTTGCTTTACGCGTACGTTTCAGAGCTCGGCGCGCCACCTCGGCGGCGCGGTCCGGTTGAAGGACACGCTGCGCATCGAAGCCATCGTGCTCACGGGCTTGACGCCGACGGTCGAAGTCGAGACGCGCCGCTCGAAAGACGACATCAAGCGCATCGTCCAGTCCATGTGGCCCACGTTTGACACGGACGTCAAGAGCATGACGTACATCTCGTGCATGGTCGACCTCGTCGTCGCGGCCGAGTGAGATAATTGCTCACGTCTGCCAGCGTGCAGTCGTAGTACCATAGTTCGTGGGTCTCTTCCCTTTGTAAATAATGCAACCGTGTCGTCGTCATCTTGTGGGTGCAGGCGATCGAAGCCAGGCATGTGCGGCTGAGGTTCCCACGACGGCTGGCCATCGCTTGTGAACGCAATCGTTGTGCCAGCACGTGGCCACCGCAAGGCGTGTGTGACTTACGATCGAAAGACCAACTGTTGGTGTGACCAGGATACCCTTTCTGGCGCAGCCACGTACGAGTCCACGTCACTGGACCGCCTGCAGTGAAACAGCAGCATCGTCGTCGATTGCAGTCCAAAGGCACTGTCATCACAAGAGCCAGATGCCATCATCACAGACCAAGACGGTGTTGATACCAGATATCAAAGTGGCGTCTGATCAGATCAGAACGATGGGCATCGTTCGTGAAGCACTTCTAGTCGGTGCCGGCGGGTTACATCCCCACAGTAGAGCCGTCAACGCTGAGCTTGTTCGAGTATTTGCACTCCACCATAGCATCGCGCCGAGCCAGTGGTGCCACCAAGGCCATCAACATGACGGCGAATCTTAACGGACCGGGTGTCGTACACCGTACTGCAGCGTCCACATTGGCTCCGGGACCGAAACACCTTTGCTTGGCTTGTCCAAGGGAGTAGAAGAAGGGTATTCCCTTGGTCTTGTCGGTACAAACGTTTCCATAGGCAAGCGTACTGCCTCGTCCTCCTCGACCATCGTAGAGACACGAGGTGACGTCGCGTCGCGTGACAGCAAAATCGAAGTGCATAACTTCGATCTTCGAATTCCGCGAGCCACCACCGACAAGGTCCTGCGGCGGCGGTACCCTAGTCTTTGTATGCAAGCGAGCTCGTCGTGGACGTAGGACCACCTGCGGAGCGTGGAACGTTGTCCGATTAGACGAGTAATGCTGGGTGCTACTTGGGGCGCCAACCACACTACAATCGCGATGGAGGTGGCGGCCACCGTGGCGCACAACATGCACGTCGTTGCTGCTGCCGTCGCCCGCGGCGACGACGACGTCGGCGCCATCGAGCAGCTCCTATTCGAGAACATTTCCCTTCTCGAGACCCTCGAGACGATCCGAGACCCAGGAAGCACGGTCCGGCGGCTGCACGACGCGTACGTGGTTCTTGCATGCACCATGCGCTCGTTGCCACAGATGCCGCGTGCGCTGGTTGCGATGGCCGAGCGCGGTGCGTCCTTGCTGGCTAGCTCTGCATCAACACCAACGATCAGTCCGGTGCGGGCCAACCCCCAGGACGAGGAAAGCAGTAGCCAAGTCGCTCCGTCGCCATCGCTCCGACTAGAGCTGGACCCACCGGTCGTACTGGCACATCTCGACGCCAACCTGAGCCGACAGCAGTCGTTCACGCTCCGCAACCCGTCGAACAAAGTAGCGCTGACCTTCAAGCTGCGCACGCCCAAGGCGCTTTGGCGACAAATCATCGTGACGCCCAACACGGGGCGACTCGGGCCGCACGAGTCGATCGCGATTGTCATCGAGCTCGCCGACGACGAAGTCGAATGGCTCACGTTTCGCTGCAGCGAGTATACAACGACAAAGACGTGGACGCATAAGCTCTTGGTCGAGTCGCGAGCAGAGGACGACGGCGACGGGGTGTCGTGTGCCAAGCAAGTCGGCCGCTTCAATATCAAGGCCACGCACCTCGGGCGGCTTTTGCCGCGGGCGCCGGCGCCGCGCCGCCTGTACCTGGCTTCGCCCCGGCTCGACTTTGCCTTTTGCACGGACGAAGAGACGCTGCAGTTCCATGCCTTTGGCAACACGTGTCTCTTTGACGTGCGCAACACGAGCAAAAGCGCGGCACTCGCCGTGAAATTCAAGACACTCTGTCCAAACCGGTACTCGATTGCGCCGCCGTTTCTCGTCTTGCCGCCCAGTAGCGCCCGCACGATCACGATCGCGCTCACTCGAAGTACGCGCAACCGCTTGTACGTCTACGAGAAGAGCCATCTCCAACTGCGCGACTGCCTCCGTGTTGAGAGCACGCTTGTGCCGTATTATGCGACGGTCGCGGCCGAGAAGTCGCGTTCTCCGAACGAGCTCGCCACTGTCCTCAACCTCGCGTGGCGCCACGTCCGCAAAGACGCCCTCCACATTGAGTACATTCCTTGCGCGTTTCGGTTTGCAATCGTATCGCCGCAAGCGTCTACGGGCGCCGGTTCAAGTCCACGACCACAGCCTTGTGCGGCCTGAACCAAAACAAACAAAATACATAGAAAATGCAGTGTCCTTGTCGTCGCAAGTGCTCGTCGACACGCGTCGTTTCGCGCCAGTCGTCGTCCTTGGCAGGAGCAGGAACAGCCAGGGTTGGTGCCGGTCGTACGCTCGCAGATCGCTACGTAGCAACCTTCTTGTTGGCTGCGAGAAAAACCGAGGTTGACGTCAGTTGAGGCAGGAACGTTGTCGATACGGTGGGCTCATACGTCGCTGGCCTGAGCTGCTGGCCATGGGAGGCTTGTGCTGGATTTGGGTTCGATTTCGGCGCGACACTTGGCCTTGCGTCTGACCACTGTGGTCGTGAGTCACTCGAGGGCGCTCTGTTGTGCATAAATACCGCGCTTCTGCGTGCGACGAAGATGGCCGACGACCTCGCGTCGGCGCTGCAGAAGCGGGTAGCGCGACGGCAAGGCGCTACTTGTCAAAAGTCATCCATCGAAGCGGGCGGTTGCCGTTGGGGAGCCGTTGCGGGCCAGCACGTTCGACGCTTGTCACGTTGCCACGTCACAGGCGACTGATTTTCCGAAACCCTGCCACCGAGAAAGATGGTCGTGTCGCCAGTCTTGGAAACGATGGGTCTTGTCCAGAGCCTGCCGCGCGACGATAGCCGCCAGGTGCATCCGCTGGCCGCCTTCCCCGAGGCCTTCTGCGTCAAGCCCTCGACCACCCAAGACCAAGGCGTCGTGTGCAGCCCGAGCAAGCATGTCGCGCTCACACTCGTGCCCGGCGCGTCGGCCATGGCGGTCGTCCACGTGACCAACCCGACCAAGTACCTCGTTGCGCTGCATCTCTCGGCGTCGCGCGACTTGTATGCGATCCGGCCAGCATATACGTGCCTGCCGCCGGGCCGGACGATCGCAATCGCGATCACTGTCTCGGCCGCCGAATGCCTCCGCGTGCTCAATGCGCCGGCCAAACCCGACACACTCACGCTCGCGACCGCGTCGTTCAAGGACGTGCCAGCCTATTTACACAGCCGGCTACAGACCGACGTGGTCCAAGACGTCTGGCAGCAAATTCCGCCAGAGTACATTACGGCGACGACGCTGCATGCCTCCTGCAGCCCGTGGACAACGGCGGCCGACGACGAGCCATGACGCACGTCTTGTACCATCTTATTCGAAACCCTAATATATATATGTATATCGCATCCTCCATCGGGTGGCTGGCGGCGCAAGCGGCCGATCGACCACCACCCATGGCAGCGTCGGGCGTGCTGTACAGTGGAATAATGGCAGCAGAGAGACGAAGCGGGAGTTGGCCCGATCGCTTACGATGTAGGAAGGGGCGGCGCGGTCTTCGGGCCCTTGTTGGACCGTCGACCCTACGCCCATTGAGCATCAGCATTCGCAGGCAAGGTGTGTCGTGATGACGCATCCTACCTGACCACGACCGCCGTTGCCGTCGCCGCGACCGCCGTTGCCGTCTCCACGACCGCCGTTGCCGTTGCTGTCACCGCGACCACCGTTGCCGCGAGGATGACTGCCGCCGTCGCCACCACCGCGGCCGCCTTCTGGCTTGGGCTTCTTTCCTCGGCCCGACCGGCTTCGCCCGCGACCACCACGACCACCCTCGTCCGTCGGTGCAGGCGGCATCTCGAACGTCATAGAGGCAGCATTCAACGACGCGGGGAGCGGCGGCGGCAGGGGCGGAGCGGGCGCGCTTGCCACAGGGGCGGCCTTGGGCATGATGCGGAACATGCCGGGTTGAAGCTCGGGCTTGGGCTCGTCGACCACAGGCGCGCGGTCCTTGCGACGACGTTCGCGTTGCTTGCGTTGGCCTAAGCATATCCATGCATGAGCATCTTCTTTGTGCCAATTCGGGATGATGACGCACCCGTTTTGGTCGTGTCGGCCGCTGCATTGACATCCATCATGTCGGTTGATGACGTCTTCTTGGACTTGCCCTTCTACGCAGCGTCATCATTCAGCCAAATGACAAGGATGTGGTCGGAGAGTACCTGTGCAGCCTTGTTGGGTTTCTGCGACTTGCCGTTGCGCCCAAACGTCATCGTCGACGCGCTTCGCAGCTAGTAGAACGCCACGTGTGCGGATGCTTGTGCGTCAGGAGAAGAGGGTGGTACCTTGGCTTTGCTGCGGCGCTCGTTCAAAAACTTGACGAGCGCAGGCACGGGCTTGGCCTCGGCGTCGTCGCCGTCGGCAACCATCGGCTCGGGCACCGTCGGGTTCTCGAGCTCCTCGAGAAAGACCACAAACTCGGGGTCGCGCTCGTACGTGTTGACCTTGTTGTCGCGTCGCCGCTTCTCGCGGGGCAGTTTTTGGTTGGGCGCGACCGCCGCTTCGAGCACGGCTGCGACGCCATTGCTGCTTTCGACAGCCTTGCCGTTGAGCGCGGCAAGCACCTTGAGCAGCTCGTCCGGGTCCTTGCGAAAGTGCAGGTACAAGCGCGCGGGCATCGCAGGCATGCCATTCTTGGTCGGCTTGCCGGCTTCGAAGCGGTAGAAGGCCGGGCACGCCGCCTGGACCTCCTTGAGGCTGGGCTCACTAAGCGGCGCGTCGGCGTCAATGGGCGCCGGCAGCGGGTACCCGCAGAGACCGACGGCCTCGGCGCGGGTCGCGTCGAACGGGAGGTTGCGGACAATCAGCTTCTTCCAGTGCATCTTCCTGCTGCCGGCCGTTGAAAAGGGATTTGGCATGTAAAATAGTGTTTCGATAACACGATTTCCGATAAGCAACAAAATGGTGTGGGGATCGTTTCTCTGTCGTTGACGGCAACGACAGTGGCGTCACTCGCGGCTCGATCTACTCCACACGTACTGTATCGGGCGCGACAAAAGATAGATCGGTCTCGTCCAAGCGTTGCGTAATTCTACATCTCGTCGGCTTCCTTCCATCGATCAGGCCAACGAGTAGCATGGCTTCGAGATATGCTTCACACTATTTCGGAAAGATATACGTATCCGGACGAACTTAACGCCACACAGAACTTACAACACGGTCGTTCGTGGCTCGGCAATCGGACCGAGGCCATGCCTTGGGCGACTTACCGCAAGGGTAATCTCAAAACCTCTGAAATGGCATATTTGACGTTGCAGTATGCGTTGTGGAAGACTTGGTGCAACACGCCCGCAGCTCACACCCGCGGGTCTTTGCAGCCGCGTCCTGTTTATGAGCCGACGCCGATGGCTGTCGATGCAAAGAAATGGCACCGCACCGACAGTATTTCAGCGCTGACCATCTGGCTTCTGGCGATCGCAAAACGCCGATTTCGGTTCGGTCTTGGTACACTGTATTCGATGGGCGACCCGGAGGGTGTGGCTGTGCAAGTCCACCACTCGCTACTGCCCATCCATCCCTCTTCCACTGCAATTGCCTTATCAAAGACGCAAAGTACGACGAAGGACACGGCCAGCATCTCCGGAGAATTGGGCGGAAAGACGCTGCCGCCGCGACTGCGATATGCGCGCCGTACGCTTGCAAACACGGGAGGCGACACAATTCTGACATTCAAGTTCGCGCTGGACGCTGGATGCGCGCACGCGTTGATTTGATTCGTCGACAGCTGGGCAGACCCGCCTGTCCGACGTGGGCGATGCCACTCTGTACTTGGCTAAGGGAATTTCGGAAGCCGAGATCCCACGGTCCATTGCGCACGCAGGTCACCCAGCTCGCTTTGCCACCTGGTGCCGCGTGCGACGTTCGGTGGCATGGATACGCCGCGCACGAAATACACGCTGCGCTGCTTTGCTTTCAATGCACCCAGGAATCGTCGCAGCACTTTTCGATTTCCGTTGGACCCACCACCACTCAGACACAAGATGGCCCCGAAAGTTGTGTCGGTCAACGACGTCATCCGCGCCATGTCCAAGGGCGACATCACCGTCACCAAGCCGACCGACCCGGCGCTCAAGAACACGTCGTCGGCCTCGAACGCCGAGCTCGAGAAGGAGCTGCTCAACTACGGCATCCACGCGGGCAAGTCGGAGCGCAAGTACCAAGAGCTTGTGCTTGGCATGGTCAAGGACGACATGTTCTGGGTCCGCAACTACTCGCTGCACCCGAACGCGCACCGCGTCCGCGGCTGGATCCGCCGTCACGACCGGTTCCGCGCCTGCATGCGCGAGATGGTCAAGATGATTGCGCGCATTCCCGACACGGCGTCGACGGCCCGCGCGCAGCTCGCGTACAACTTGGGCGCCAAGTTCAACGCGTTCCTGACCGAGCTCGACGACCACGGCAACTTTGAAGACGCCGAGCTCTTCAAGTACTTTATCGACAACATTGAGGGCTGCTGGGAAGACTTTGAGGAGCTCGAGGCGCAGCACGCCGACCACTCGATGACCGACCAGATCGTGCATCGGCTCGAGAAGCTCATCGCGGCCCAGGGCAACGTGAGCCAGGCCGAGCTCGTCGAGCTCCAGTACAACTTTTACCTCTTTTACCGCGGGTCGCTGGCGCACTTGGCGCTCGAAGAAAAGACGATTTTGCAAAAGTGGCTCAACTTGACGCCGCAAGAGTACCGCCATTTCCGCTCGTACCTCTCGTGGAAGCACATTCTGACGTACTACAAGTTCTTCAAGCTCCTGTAAGGAGCGAACGACTTATCATTTAGCGAGTTAGGACCCTTATATATACCGTATTGTATTAACAACGACGAGTTTTGCGTGCACGCAGCAATCGAAGCTGCGGCGCCGCCTACAACACCATATTCTTCTTCTTCCATTGCACTTTTCGTGAAGCGCCTCAAAGGATTCCCAGTGCCTTGTCACCGCTCCACCTCGAGCCGCTCGTACGTCAGCCAAAGCCACCGTCCATGCGCCAACTTGGCGGGGATCGGACTGCATGCTACTCTTGTGAATGGCCACTATGCTGCACATCGCTCGCAGCCTTCGTGCACGCATTACGTACGACTGCTTTTCCGGTGTAGGTGGCCAGCGGGCACTTGACTGCCGTTCGCTGTTAGCTGTTAGGTTCGGAATCGCCAAAGTCGAATCCACGCACGTGTCGGGAGGATTGAGTAGCCGCCGACGTCCTACACTTTCGACAGAGTACTGTTCAAGTCGTGGACTGACGCGATCACCGGGCGTTGCACGAGGGGGATGGGTTGCAAAGCTATTTCGGGTCGTGTCGCAGCAACAGTAGGATGATCTCGATCGAGATGCTCGTGAACGCGAGCAAGACGAGCGTCGCCAAAGACGAGTCCGCCGACCACTACCTCAAGCGCCTCACGCACCTTACGCTCACCAACAAGAAGCTGCACAGCATCGCCAACCTCGAACTGTGCCGGCATCTCAAGGTCTTTGAGCCACGATTTCGAAACGTGAGGGACGGTGTCGTAGGTGCTGTATCTCTACGGCAACCGGATCAAAACGATCGAGAACCTCGGGTTCGCGTCGCAGCTGACGCAATTGCATCTCCAAGACAATCGCATCACGCGCATTGAGGGGCTTGACGCGCTCGTCAACCTTGAAAAACTGTACCTATGACGTGGCAGCGCCCACGAACGAGCACCACATTGCACTTGCGTAGGTGTCTCGAAGGCAACCAGATCGCGCGGCTCGAGGGCCTGGAGCACTGCAGCAAGCTCACGGAGCTCCACTTGGCCAACCAGAGCGTATCGGCAGTTGGCTTTGCGTTGGACGATGCGTCATCGCTCGCGACGCTGAGCGTACGACGTCATCTGCTGTGCGCGTCTGAATGGCCTTTCGGTAGCGCTGCCTGCGCGTGCTCAACCTGGCCAATTGCAAAGTGCAACGCGCGTCACCGCTGGTGGTCCTTGGTCGTCTCGAACAGCTCAACCTGTCGCGCAATGCGATCAGCGACATGGAGGTACACACCGTGTCGGTTTGTTCATCGATAATAGCATGGACACGCATAGGACGTCTTTGCCCTCGTCGGGGGCCTCCGGTGCCTCCGCGACTTGAATTTGACTAACAACTATGTCAACGCGACGCCCAAGTACCGCGAAAACACCATCATCTTTTCCGGTGTCAACTTGCGTATGCCTCGCACGTGGCGTCTGTTGGGATATGATCTTACTCTTTAGAGGTGCTGGATGCCAAGGACATTGACGCCAAGCAGCGGGCGATGATGCAGTCGCATCTGGCCTTCAAGCACAAGTACGTATCGTCTCTCTGTCGACGTCGATTCCCAGCTCCGACGCAGGAAACGCATCGAGAGAGGAAAGGGCGTGGTCGAACCCGAGGCGAACGTCTCGCTCAAGCCGACCGTGTCGATACCGATGAGCAAACGACTTGGCGGGTCGGACTTTGACGTGCTTGGGAGCGCCATCTCGCGCCCCCGTAGCAACAACTGCGACGAGCACGACGACGGATTGTGAGCTTGCCGTGTAAAACGTCAATTTCGACAATGTATGCATCATCTACATCGTACTATTGCGCCAAGGGCAAAACTCGAAAAGCAGAGAAACTAAAGTGTACAAGAAAGCTCGGCTGTCTATGCGACTTGCTTGGCAAACTTGGACGGGTACGGCTTCTCGAGGTACTCGGCGATGAGTACGGCGTTGAGTGCGGCGCCGCGGAGGAGCTGGTCGCCCGAGACAAACAGGTCCAGACCGTGCTCCTCAAAGACGATGCTCTGGCGCACGCGGCCGACTTCAATGTTGTACTTGGACGTGGCGTTCAGAGGCATCGGGTACTTGTTGGCCAAGGGCTCATCGACAACGTCGACGCCGTCGGCCTGGCGCAGTAGCGCGCTACATACCATCAAACGCGTCAGATTGTTTCCGGTAGCTAAGACACCACGTACAGGGCATCGGCGGGCGCGATCGGGCGCTTGGTCTGGATCGTAATCGCCTCCGAGTGCGCACGCAAGATCGGGATACGCACGGCCGTGCAGCTGATCTTCATGTTGGCTTCGTCAAAGATCTTGTTGGTCTCCCACGTCACCTTCATCTCTTCCTTCGTGTACCCGTTGGGCTGGAAGACGTCAATGTGCGGAATCACGTTGAACGCCAGCGGATGCGCAAACACCTTGTGGGATGGCGAGGCGCCTGCGAGTGCGTCCTTGGTCGTGTTGAGCAGCTCGTCCATGCCCTCGACGCCGGCGCCGCTCGCGGCCTGGTACGTCGACACGATCATCTTTTCGATGCCATAGTGGCAGTGCAGCGGCCAGAGCGCCATGACCGCAATCGCCGTCGTGCAGTTGGGGTTCGCAATCAGCCGCTTCGAGCCAATGGACGCGCCGTTGATCTCGGGGATCACAAGCGGGACAGCTGGCTGCATGCGGAACGCCGACGAGTTGTCAATGACAACCGCACCGCCAGGCGCCGCAATCGCCTCGGCGTGCTCCAGCGCAAACGAGCCAGATACCGCGAGGAAGACATAGTCCATGGCCCGCGCGGCCTCGACCGTGAAGAGCTGGACCTCGGACGGCCCGAACGGCGTCTCGACGACCTTGCCCGCCGAGCGCGCCGAGGCGAAGAGGTGCACGCTCGTGACGGCAAACTTGCGGTCATGGAGGACAGCGAGGATCTCCTGCCCGACGGCGCCCGTGGCGCCCACGATACCAACCTAGATGACGAGCTTGAGCGCCAGCAGCCAGACGAGCCGGCCTGTATACCTTGACCATCCTGCTTGCGAAAAATCTGAAAATGGGATCGCACGGCTTGCAGCAGCGCCATTTGTGATTGGGCCATCGGGTCATGCTCGCGTGTGATTGGACAAAAGTAGGTGCGCCATCTAATTCTTATGGCGCAAACTCGGATCTTGTGGCGACGCCGTCGACGGGCTCGACGATTGACTGGACATGTGACCGCCTACAGGCAGCCACGAGATGCGAGGTCAAAGCCACCAGAAGCTTGCAATGTGCTTGGCAAAATGCGCGGCGCCATGACCTGATCAAACGTTGGACGCAACGTCGTGTTGTCCACGCCACACCAAAGCGCTACGACGGCGGAGGTATCACATACTAGTAGGTTTTGAGTTCACTCGGCGCAGAGACCCATTAACGACTGTGTGTCTACTTGGCCTTGGCGTCACGAGACTCGGCTCCGTGGGCGATGTTGCCTTATATATATGAACGTGTTTCGCGAAATCTTCAAAATTACACGAAGCCTTGGCATACGTAGAGACTAGCAATCTCCTTCTTCATTCGCTCGCCGGGCCGTAGCTACGCAGGCGGCGGCTCGTCTGGCTCTTCTGTCGTCGCCCTACGACGCTTGTGGCCACGGGAGAGGCACTGGACGACACGGTCGGTAAATTCTTTCCAGGAGGCGCGGTCGGCGGCAAAGCTACGCAGTTTGTCAAGGTCATCGGGAGACGCCAGCGACTGGAGACTGTCGCATTCGTCTCATTCCTAGTTGAAGCTGCACTGTTTCCGGAGGAAGACAACGTCCAGTGTGCGTGTGCTGCCTGGAGACAAGGGTCCAGACAGCTACTGCAAGATCTCTCCAGCAAGGGTATTTCATCTCTTATATACCCTTGCTGGAGAAATCTTGCAGTCGCGGTCGGGACATGGAGCCTGTCAAAAACGTATGCCGAGAGATCGCTTGCGTGGCGATGCCTCGGACCAACGGGCGCGCTGCAGAAGCACTGCGGGGCGTAGTACACTGCTGTCGGTCCGCTGTGACTGTGACGTAATGGCGCGCCGACGTCGGACTGCCATATTCCGACGCTACACCACACGGGGCCCATGGCCTCTGCGCTCGTCGTAGCGCAAGCTCGTGGACACTCACGGTGGTTGCACACGCGGCTGGTATCCTCATCCAAGTGCACTTGCTGCCGAGCGCCGTCATCGCTAAAGGCGGCGAGAGGACGCAAAGAGCCGACTACAACCCACGTCAAGTCGTTTCTTCGGCGCGGCACGGCGACGGGGCACATGAGGTGGCGGTGCCATGGACACGGCCGCTGCGCGACAGTGCACCTGGATGTCGGCCCTTCTTTCTCCGGCGCGAACCGTCGTCCGTACATTCAGCGCCCTGCGTATCTACCCACTGCCGTCGCTGGCCAAGAATGGGCGTCGACGGGCATCGCTTGGATGATGATGGTGGCGCCACGTTTTCTCATGCTGGATTCGTTTACACCAATTGGGTGCATTAGGCTTAACTTCAACGAAGGAATAGTGTGCTAGGGAACCGACACAATGACGTCGACACTGTTCGGCGCTGTACGTCAACGCTGCGGCATACGACAACTTTCTTCGACGTTTTGGGCCTTCTTGTCGTCGTGGTCATTCGAGGTTAGCTTCTCGGACCCATTCGGCGACCGCTTGAGATCGGCAGTCCGGCAATCTAAAATAGTATGCAACCGTATTGGTGTTGAGTATAAAAATACAATTCGATGATGTGCAAACTGAAACGATAATTTACATATTAATGTGATCCTATACAAACTATAGGCTAGAATAAAATTTAAAGTAAAATACCCATTTTGCTGCCGCAACACGTTGACAAGACAAAGCGCCGACCGATGGCCGGCGAACATGGGACGGCCACGCGCTTCGTCGAGGGCCGGAGCTTTGTCTCCTCATGGAACCACCTCTGCTCCATGGTGCTCAACGTCTATGGCCACGCGGCCGTCGTCCAAGCGCTCGCCGCCATGAGCCTGGCGGTCCTGTACCTCTACGTGCAAGGGCATGCGGTCGTCGACTTGAGCGTCTACGATGCTGTCGTCGTTGACCACGCAATCGCCGGTCTTGGCCTCTCGTTCCCCATCGGCTACGTTGTTTTGCTCAACCTCTACTACTCGGACGTGCACGACGCGCTCGGCGCCTCGCTCCTCCTCTTGCGCGTCACGTCGTGCTGCATCATGGGCGTCGCACTAACGATCTTCCTCGCCGAGTACTTCACGCGCCGGATCCTCATCTCGCTCGTCCTCTTTGGTTACGGCGCGTGGGGCTTCTTCTATGCGTGGAGCGTGCCCATTTGGCGCTGGTACATGTACGACGTGTGCGAGCACGGGCTCATGGCGTATCTCCCCGAGAGTCTGCAGACAATGCTGCTTCAAACGACGCTGCTCGAGTGGCTCACGGACACGTCGTTCTTTGACAGCATGCAAAAGTACTTGCCGTTCCTCATGCCACTCTCGCTCGCCGAGCAGCAGCGCGTCGTGCGCAGTCTCCCGGCCGACGACCAAGCGCGGCTGCTCAAACCAGGTCTCCTCCATTTGTTGCCCGAGACGGTGCAAGAGACGTTGCTGCCCGAGACAACATCGGAGCATAGTGGCGAGATCATTGTGCGCCATCGGCCGTCGTCGGCGGTTGTCGCCCAGTCGACCCCGAGCTACTCGTTCGGCTTTGACTTTGCAGCCGCCACGACCACGCCGCCAAAGGACGACCCGACGATTCTTGCTGACTTGATCAACGCGCGTGTTGCCTCGTACACTGCTTCTATATCGTATGCAGCGTTCTCACGAGTGGGTCGTAGGACCATCCAGCAAGTGGTCGCACTACCGTCGCCAAAGCTTGTGAACCGGACGGCGGCCATCTCGTCCTGCCTCTTTGTCTTCCAGGTACTCGAGAAATTATGCTGCGCAACGGACGCCAACGCGTGTTTGTAGCTCACGCGGTCGGCCAAGGCCCGCGCTCAGTTTTTCATTCTTTGCCGCGTCGTTCTGCTCTCCGTGCTTGGGACTGTGGCGTGTGCGTCCGTGTCGGTGCGCTGCCTCCAGCTCCTCGCCGCCCTGCCCCGGTCGTCGCAGCGCTACCTCCAGTACGCCCAACAGCTCTTGCTGCAACAGCCCTCCGTGCTCCGACTACGCCACGCCAAGGACAGCCATGGCGACGACGAGGACAAGCATCGGTCGCGCTGGGCCACCGTGTCCAAGTCGGTCCTTGCTGCTGTCGCCATTGGCTATGGGCTGCGCAAGCTCCAGCGCTAATCTGTAACCACCAAGTCGTAGAGATGCCACTTACTTCGTGTGCACATGCCACTTTAACATCACAAGTCGCTGCCGCCGGCGGTGGAGGTGGATGGTGGCGGTTGAACGACACAACTCTGGCCAGCGATCACATCTTCCATGGCGCCAGCATGACCTGCTGGCCTCATCTAGCCCATCCCATGCACTAGTTGATATGGATCAGCTGAGCCCATGCTGCCACCGTACTCGCCGAGCCCCGCGGCCGATCGTGCTGGGCTGTTGCGCACGCATTTATTTGCCTTTTCGCAAAAATCTTTCGATGCAATCCGGTTACGATCCCTCGGCCTTCGAATCCGGATGCCTGCACGACAATCATTCTCGACCGCTTGAGCGACGATGGCAGCCGACATGGCCGTGACCGAGGTCGAGACCGCGATCACGCGGCTCGGGCGCATCACGAGCGATATCAAGACCAAGACGTCGCTCTTTGGGACACCGCAGGACACACGTGCCAACCACGACCAGCTCAATGCGCTCGCCAAGGAAGGCAACGACTCGGTGCAGATGCTTCGCAAGCAGCTGCAGAGCCTCTCGAGCGCCACGTCGACTGCCAACAAGAGCGCCGTGCGCAAGCTCTCCAAGGGCTTCCAAGCGCAAGTTACTGCGTTTGAGCAGGCGTGCAGCAGCATGGTCGCGTCCGAAAAGTCGGCGGTCGAGCTCATTCGGAGAACGTCAACGAAGCTGGACCCGTCCGCGCAAGACGGCCTCGCGTGCAACGAAGACCAGCTCTACGCGCAAGCCCAAGTGAGCGTTTACAACGAAGACGGTGCGACGAGATGCTATCTTGGCCGAGGTGCGATCGCGTGTAGATCTTGTGCGGCGCGAAGAAGACATCGTCAAGATCAACCACCAGCTGCGCGAGATCAAGGCCGCGTACGAAGAAGTGGGCGGTCTCCTCGAAGACCAGAAAGACGTTGTGAGTACGACCAACGAAATCTGATTGCTTTGGACGAGGCTAAGATATGCGATCTATGGTATAGTTGAAATCGCCAACAACACCGAGGCCGCCCGCGAGAATGCGCGCGATGGGCTCGAGAATGTCCAGCAAGCCGACAAGAAGACGGGCTACTGCACGTGCACGTGCTGCTATCTCTGCACGATCATGTGATCACAAAGGCGCCGGGCTGCTTACGCATTTTCATTCCTACTCGAATTCAATCGATTGCCATGGCATGCTGCGTCGATCTGGTGAGGAGGAGGACCTTGGCGTCGATGCTGCGTCTCTACGCGCCACCTACGTCCATGGGCCTGCCGTCGGTCGACGTGCATGGACAGCAGCTAAGGCCATGGACCATCGGTTTGGTCGGCGCGGTGGTTGTCGACGACGACGGTTCAAGATCCACCGCATGGTTTTTGACCCAATAAACGTATTTAACGCAAAAGGTCGTCCTCGGTTTCGAACGCGTCTTTTTCGACGATGGGTTGTTTAAACAGGTGGTAATCCACACAACACCCTTGGAACAAGCCGGACGATGGACCTCGACACAGCGCTCGACGCCGCGACCGACAAGGCCTCGCCCGAGGGCGACAGCCTCGCGCGCAAGGTGCTCACGCAGTCCATGCGCCTCACGCACCACGAGAACAATGCGTCGATCGCCGACGCGAGCACGTACTCGCCGCAGGCGCCGTGGACGCCCAAGTCGCTCGGGCGGGCCAAGAGCGCAATCGTCTACCGCGTACGTCTCTTATGCTGCCTGTCGCTCATGCATATCCTGGTGCTAGCAAACGCTCAACGACAATCTCATGTTCCTCGAGCGCAACATCTTCTTCTTCCGCGAATGGCACATGCGCTTCGTCTCGCTCCAGGACGACCACATCCTCATCTACTCGTGCCGAGAAAAATGGGAGCAAGGCGACCCGCCTGACAAGGTGCTCGCTGCCTCTGCAGCGTCGTTCTCATAGGACGCGTAGGTCGTGCGACTGAACCCGACCATGTTTCTGAGCCACATGCGCGTCGACGTCGAGGAGAGCCACTCGTACGCTGGCGAGACGACGCGCCTCTTCCGGCGCAAGCTCCTCGAGACCGACGAGCTCGACGAGGTCCCATGCCTTGCATCATGTCTCGTCTCAACGCCAATCTAGTGGATCAACGACGAGCTGCGCCAAGGGCTCGTGGTGGACGCGACGGGCAGCAACGTCAACGCGACGTTCAGCAACAACCCCGAGGCCAGCGCGCGGACCGTACTCGAGTTCGCGACGACCAACCAGAGCACGTTCGAGCTCTGGTCCAAGGTCATTCGCCGCGCGCTGCAGAGCCAGAAGGAGACGGCAGCACCGAGTACGACCGATGACCACATCAACAACAATGGCCGTCGCCGCAATTCGTCATCGTACTCGGACGACGCAAGCAGTGAGGCCGTGCGCCGGGGCGCGTCCGATTGGATCTCGCCGGGCCACGACTGCCGCGTCACGCTGCACCAAAGCGAAGTGTGGTGCAACCGCGTCACGGGCTCGACCGAGACGGACAAGGCCGAGTCCGAGTTTCGCCGCATTGTCGCGATGGAGAAGCTCGTCGCGCAGGTCACGGGGCCGCCGATGGCGCTGCTCGTCTACGAAAAAGTGAGCCGCGTCCACGAGCTCTTTGCGGCCAACAGCCGGCGCGAGATCGAGTCGGGGACCTCGCCCCTTGGCCATGACGCCGCCTTGACTCCCGACGTGCTGCACTTCTTTGCCGACCACCTCAAGCGCAAGTACGCAGTGTTTCTTATCCTGGCGCTCGCGCATGGCATTGCGGAAGAGTACATCCGAGAGGCGCACGAGCGCATGTGTGAGGAGAATGAAGCGACGTTTGCAGGCGTCGGCGCGGGCACCGGCGACGAGCTCCAGGCGGTGCCCGATGGCCAGTATGGCTTTGCCGACGACGCGTCGATCGACTTGTACGACAAGTACCGCACCGCAGCGCTCAACTACTATCGCATGAACTATGGCGACCCGTCCGCGGCCGAAGAGGAAGACGCGATCATGCACCTGCCCGTGATGCTCCACGTCGCCCTGCTTCGGCAAGAGCGCGACGAAGCGTCGGCGCTGCTCGAGATCCTCCAGACCGTCAAGCGCCGCCTCTTGGAGCACACGGCGTCCGAGGCTGCGTCCAACAATGATACGACTTGACCAAATGATGGTGCAGTAAGATAGCAATGCTGTGCTCTATGGCATCGTGCTTCCTCCAGCGACGCCGTTGGCAGCGATCTGCACGTGGAGGTCTTGCACGAGCCGGCGAAAGCCAGGATCGTACATGAACATGGACGCCATCTCGTCGCGCGACAAGGGCGCGTCGTCGGTAGTGGCAGGCATGGCCGCAGCGGCGGGCAGCAGGCGGCAGTTGGGAAACCGGATGCGGAGCTGGGCGATGCATGCGTCGACGCCGACGCTGTCTGCGAAGCGAACGCTACACACAGGCTGTAGAAAACCGAGACAACGAGGTGGATGATGAGGGATGTACGTTGTCTCGTGGGCGTTGGGGAGGTAGAGCCGGAGGAGCCGTCGCTTCGGGACGAGGTGGTCGGGCGCGGGAAGACGCTGGCCCGCGATGGCCACGCCGTCCGCGTCGATGCGCAAAAGCACCTTCTTCCGGAGCGCTTGCAGCCCGCGTGGGCCATGCTGGACGAGCTGGACGCGGAAGGTCGACGTGTCCATGGCGAGATAGCGATTGGCAGAAATGGACCGCGAATCTTTGGCACACGCGAATGAAACCGCATGAAATTCCGTCTTTTGCGCCAATCGCCTACCGCGTACGCCAGGAACCAAGGAAGATCGCTCGCATCCTGCCGAAGGCGAAGCTACTTGTTGCGCTGCACGATCACACGCCCGTGGACGGACGGGGCCCAACTTCAAGCAGACTTAAAATTGGCGGCAGCGAGCACCACATGCTGCCACGTATACGCCCATGTGTAACCCTTGGCAGTTTGGGCGTCTAAAGGCGAGGCGACGAACTGGAAATGATAGCCCTCCAGACGAGACGGCTCCAGAGCTCCAGAAGCCGCACTGATTTCGGCTCGTCGACGTGGGCTTTCGCAGCGTAGTAGCTTGGGTGCGCAATCAGATGCAAACTGCGACCGCTGACCAGATCCAGATTGCTACGAGAAATACCAGACGCCGCCTCGATCCAGGCCAGTGCGACAACGACAACACACAAGGCCAAGGTCCTCGCACCTGGTATCGCAGGCAGTGCGTACGTACTCCCGTCATCAACGGCGCCACGTGCAGGTTTGTGCTCGTGAGAATATTAATATTGGATATTGGGCTGCAATAATATAAATGGACGTGAAATATTCTACGATAGCGTTGGCATGGCGGTTCGAATCTGTTCCAGTGCGGACAATCCGATTATAATATCCGACGAATTTAAATATAACTTTTATTATTATGGCGGGCGGAGGTCTGGTCGGAGATCAAATGGTATGCTGAAAAGCGAAATATAGTGTGATATGTGGTGCATAGATGCTGCACCGCGGGCCATTGAAGCACGCCGTCGCATTTATCGCTGCAGCTGCACTCGCGAGTCTTGCGATCCGCGAAGATCCTAGTATAAACGCACCGAGCAACACGGACACCACGGCATCTACTGCTTCAAATGCGGGATTTCCACGTGTCAAAAACTCTCAGCTCTGCAAAATGGCCCGTTTACGGGCCATCAGGCGGCAAATCCTGCAAATCACGCGCAGTTCAGGAGGGCCTTGCGCACGTCCCGGCAAGTGTCTCGGATATTCGCCTTTGTTGCGTGGGCCCTTCAGATACTTGCGGGTCCTCGCCAGCATGATGTCGCAGGCCCATCTCGCGTCTCTCCATGCGCGTTCGATCTTCTACGGTATGCGCGTCCACACTATTTGCGTTGGGTTTGAATATTATATTGGCGTCGGTTGAAAAACGATCAAATTAATATTCCTCGAAAGAGGCCAGTTTGAAAGTATTACGCACGCCATACAAAAACCAAGAGAAATAAAATAAAGTCGTGTCGCACCTATACATACAGGAAGCGAGGAGGCCGGGCCACTTCCGGATCCTCCGACAACAGACGCAGACGCAGCATGGGCGGGTCCGCAGCCGCGCGCAGCTCCGAGATGGAGCTTGGCACCGAGTCCATCTCGATGGGACTGCACTCTTTCGAAGACATCATGGACACGGACTGGGAAGGCTACATCTGGAAGCAAGGCCATGTCGTGCGCAACTGGCGCAACCGCTACGCCGTCCTGTCGGGCACGTGCTTTACCTACTACGCGTCCAAGGAGGCCGCGTCCGCCGACCTCGAAAAGTACAAGGGCCGCGTGACCGTCACCGGCGCCAAGAAGGACCCGAGCCGCAGCAATGGCTTTGTCGTGACAACGTCGATCGACAAGCTCTTTACCATGTACACGAAAACGCCGATCGAGACCGAGCTCTGGATCCGCATGATTGAGAAGGCCGTGCAGAACGAGTACATGCACTCGACGCTGCTGCCGCCGGCGATGCCCGACACGGTCGGCGAACTCTCGGCCACGCAGCCGCTGCCATCGTCGCTCTTGACGCTCACAGGCAACAACTTGAGCTTGAGCTTCAACGGCCGCACGAGCAACACGGCGATGAACGCGTCGCAGGCTGGAAGGCTCTCGCTCGGGAGCGCGCTGCCGTACAACGGTCGTCTCTCAGTGAGCACCGCGAGCTTTAGCGCGGCCATGGCGCCGCCCTCGATCCGGTCGTCGATCGACTGGAAGAACCGCAACGTGTCGACAACGACCCACTTTTACAACCTCTGGTCGACGTGCATCTCCAACTACGAGCGCAAGATGCAGGAGCCGAACACGCTCTGCAACGAGCTCCTCGCGCTCTTTCCGCTCTGCTCGATGGACGTAGTCGCAAGCCTCCACTTCCCCGTGCCCTTCATGCCGTCGTCGGTCTTCTATGGCCGCGAAGGGCTTGTGGACATGATGTTTGGCCTCGCGCAGTGCGTCTCGATCGCCGACATGAGCGTCCACCGCGTGCTCTTGAGCTCGCGCCCGAACGTTATCCTCGCGTCCGGACGGAGCAAGCTCACGAACCGCCACCTGAAAAAGACGTTCGACTGCGAATGGAAGGACGAGGTCACCTTGTCACCCGGTGGCCGCGTGCTCAGCGTCAAGATGTACATGGAGGTTGACCCGCAAGCGTTCTACACGTCCGACTCGGACGAGCGCGTCTCGCGCCTCAAGCAGAGTCTTCGCGCGACTGCGACCAAGCGTGTGCTGTCGCTCTCGATGCAGCACTTTACCGTCAAGAAGGTGCTCGGCCAAGGCACGTTTGGCACGGTACGGTCGTTTGTATCAACGTATCAAGACGCTCATGGTCTTGCTACGATTAGGTGGTACTCACGGAGCGCAAGACAACCGGCGAAATCTTTGCGATCAAGATCCTCGACAAGAACTCCATGTCGACGTACGACAAGGTCCGGACGCGCACCGAAATGCGCATCCTCCGCGACGTCTACCACCCGTTCATTGCGCCGCTCCGGTACGATTTTGTATCAATGTTTCAAGTCGAGACTCATGGACATATTGTAGGTTTTCGTTCCAGAGCAACTCGCGCGTCTTTCTGGGCATGGAGTACTATCCGGGTGGCAGTCTCTACGTGCACATGAACAAGTTCTCGGAGGACGGCGACCAGCGCATCAAGCTGCCGATCGACATGGCGCGCATCAAGTTTTACGCGGCGCAGCTCGTCCTCGCCTTGTGTCATCTCCACGCGTGCGACATTGTGTACCGCGACCTCAAGCCCGACAACATTATGCTCGACAAGGACGGCAACGTGGCCCTTGTCGACTTTGGCCTGAGCAAAACCAATGTCCGGTCGCTTGAAGGGGCGCGGACGATGGCCGGGTCGCCAGCGTATACGGCGCCCGAGCTCCTCAAGCCCAAGCGCAACCGCGAGTACGGCAAGGCCGTCGACTGGTGGTGCCTTGGCATCCTCTTGTACGAGATGATGTTTGCCCGTCGGCCGTTCCACCACCCGAACGTCTCGGTGTTGTACCGGCTCATTGACAAGGACCCGGTCAAGTTTCCGAGCCGCCTCCCGATCGCGCACGAGGCCAAGTCGCTCATTGTTGGGCTCTTGGAGAAGGACCCGACGAAGCGCCTCGGTGCGCACCACGCGTCCGACATCCTCGTCCACCCGTTCTTCAAGGGCGTGGCGTGGGACCAAGTGCTGAAGAAGAAGATTACGCCGCCGTGGAAGCCCGACATGAGCAAGGAGCTGCCGACGTCGCGCCGCACCAACACGGACCTCGGGCGCATTGTCCAGAGCAAGACGCCGGCGGCAACGGCCTCGAGCTTTTTCAACATTTTTGGCTGGCGACCAATGGAGACGCTCGCGCGCCGCCAGGAGAAGCTCCAGGCGCAGCAGCAGAGTATGCAGAACGACTTTGGCCACTTTAGCTACGTCTGCGACTCGACGCCGTCGTTCCTTGTCGACGAAGATGAGATGCTCGACTCTGCGTTCAGCGGCCGGCGGAGCGTCCAACTGGAAGCGCTCGCGATCGAAGCCTGACCGACTGCCCTTTTTTCCTATTAAATCGCGTCCATAATCATCCACCTTATCGTTATTGTACATTTCCGAGTGTGTACGTATTGTCTTTAATCATTTTCGAGCACGGTAGAGCCGAACACTAGTCATACTAGTAGTATCAATGCCCAACCGACTAAATCAATTCGCAGCACCACACGTGTAGCCGAGTTGACGTTGAGCCCACGTCACTCATCACGCATTGACTAATAGCTCAACACATCGCTTTCAAGTAATCACAGACGACCTGTACTCAGCTCGCGTTCGAGCGCTAGTGAGGGTTGAGGAAGCTGGTTGGATTCGTGGTCGGATTTGGTCCAAAACAGTGTATTTTTGAAAAATCCTGTTTTGATCGCAATATGTCTCTAGCCACGATCAATGCGATGTAGTGGACGCTGCTCGCAGCAGGTCTCGAGGTGCTTTTGGTCGCGTCCGAGTCGTCTGTGCGCTTAACCTCCCACAGTTTTTGCTCAGGAGCTTTTTCAAGGTCTCGGTGATATCGGCGCCGGCGGTGCGATGGCCGACATGGTCATGCCTCCTCATTCGATCACCATTTCGAAAACTTGCGAATATGGTTGACGTCATTGCAGCGTGGACAGGCGGCAATAGGCCACGCGTCAGTCCTTCTCGCCGCGTCGATGGTGACGACGTTGATCACCGTCGCGCTCGCAGCAAAGCGCATTCAAAGCTCGGAGAATCTCATCCGTTGCAGTCGCTTCACTCATCGCAGCGAGCGCTTGTCGAGCCAAACACAGACAGGTTCGTCCAGAGCCACCGGTGGAGTGGCCTGAGCAACGGTCGAGGCGTCGAGCTACTTTCTACTGTCTACCGTTGCCTGTTGGTGATATTGGAGGGTGTAGGCGTTGTCGTCGGTACGTACATGGGCGGTGGCGTCGGTCTTGTAGAGTGGAGTGCTCGGTCGTAGGAAGCGGTGAAGGTCGTGGCAGTTGGATGGAAAATACAAAATGAAGGCTTTGCGACTACACAAAGCCATCGAGTGTAAAATCGATCGAGTGCCCTTTGTCCTTGGACTTGTTTCTTATGATCAAGTGGAGAAGATGTCCACTGATCCCAAGAAGCTGTGTCGCTGCGCATCGCTAAATGTGGCCATTTGCTGTTTATTCGTGGCATGTGCCACAATCCATCTTTGACAACACATAACTATCGCTGCATGCCTCACACGACGACGTCGTGTAGCAATTCATGACTCTGAAAGTGTCTTCTATCACTCTGCCAAGTTGGAGCGATTTCGATTTCAACTCGATTTGCCGCCCAGAGCGGCTCAGCGGTCGTGCCCGTCGGTTTGTAATCGCGTGGGATTGGTCCAAAACCCAAAAGAAATAGCCAATCGAATGCGTTAAACGCCAAAGCGGTACGGTCGATTAAATTCGGCATATGCCGATTGGAACGGTGCGTGCCTGAGCCGATGACGCGGTCGACGCCCAACGCTGCGCCGACGTCGATGACGACGATGAGCTGCGCGATGGAGAGCAGGACACGCTCTTGGCTTGTACATGCAAGTACAGTTCTTATTGCAGAGTATTGCGGGAGTCGACCGATGGAGTGAAACCGACTCGATGCGTGCTGTTCGCCAACATGGACATTACACATCACTTGCCTCATTTTAACACAATATTGTACAATATTCGTAGTTGTCCACTATCGTGTAAAATATTTTTACAAAGTCGCGAGGTACGCTTCAATCGCAAATGCGAACGGCTGCGCGCCCCAGTTGATCGACACGTGCGCGTCGAGGGCGTGGATCGAGACCGCACCCGCGACACCGTCGCCCTCCAAGACGCACGGCGCCCGTCCGAGGTGTACGCCGTTGAGCGTAAAGAAGACAGTCGCGAGGCTTGGGACATACCCGACGCCAACGATGTCGCCGGCCTCGGCGCTAAAGAGGCGGTCGGACCAGTGCGCAAACGCGCCGGGCGACTCGACCATATCGTTACCGTCGTGGTAGACGAGGCCGGGGCCATGCGTGTGGTAGCCCACCGAGTGCGGTTGCCACCCGACGTGGGCGTCCGAGCCAAAGCCGTAGGCGCGCAGGTCACGGAGCGAGACCATGCCGATGCTGACGTACGTTGTCGTATGGACTTCAAAGTACGTGGCACCGTCCTGACCAAGCACGGGCAGTGGCGGGAGAGGCCCCGACGAGCGCACCGAGTCGACGGTCCCGCGGTCAAAGCTGCGCAGCATCGAGTTGTTGAGGACGGTGAGGCTATAGGTGGTGGGATCGAGCGTCGTCTTGGCGCGCGTCGAGACGGGCACGCGGAGGGCCTTGCGCCGGCCGTGGAGGCCGCGGATGTCGCGCCATGTAAAGGCCGTGTACGAGCGAGGCAGGCCGTGGCCCCACGTCCGCGCGTGCGCTGCCATCCACATCGTCGGGCTCTCGGCGACGACCCGAAAGTAGCGGCAAACGAGGCGCGCCTGTAGAAGCGACGCGACGTCCATACAACCGAACACCAGCTGCCACACGTGGTCGTCGAGGAGCTCCTCGACCCACTGCACGATCTGCGGCGCCGCCTCTGTCTGCGCCTTGGCCGCGGCCTTGCGCTGGCTCTTGGTCTGCTTCTTACCCTTGATCGGGATGTTCATGATCATGGCGGGGCGGCTGGCCGGCTGCCGGTCCCGGGAGGCCACGGTCGCGTACATGGCTGAGAGCTTTGGCCGGGGCTGGTTCGGGGCCTTCGGGCGGGCGTTTGGAGGAAGCAAGTCCTGGACCAATTAATTGGACGTATACCTAGAGTCCTAATTTTAGAGCTAAATAGGATATCCAAATTAGGACCTAGGAAGCCTAGCGAAGCCGACGACTGCAATTGCGGGTCGCGCTTGCAAACGAAGAGGCGAGTGCAAATCCTCAAAGCGACGTGGTACACATCGCCTGCAAGAGTATGCTTCATGCAGCCGCAAGAATGTGCGAAAGCTCAAGTGTACCCAAGATTGGAGTGCGGACAAACCTACGCCATTGCATTTAGCGTTGCCATCTTGAAATTATATCAGTTTCATCTGGTTCCATTCGTAAACATTGAGCGATTTGTAGGCAGAGTGCTTGATAGAATCGCCATAAAAACGTCGCGATCCCTGTGCTTGTGCGCGCTGAAAATTTGAAACCTTGAAGGTACCCAATGCTCCGCACCGACAGGCTGCCACATGTCGTTCGATTGGCTGGAGAGTTGATATTATCACTAGCTATATTGAAAGAAATCAAAATAAACTAGATTCTTGTATTGAAACTTGATCATTAGATGTAAAAGCAGCCGGACGCATGTTGATTGGTAGCACGTTGGCGCTTGGTCATTTCAATCACATTTGAATTTTCCAAACCGAGCAAATCCGCGGCGACAAGGATGACTGTATTTTCCAAGACTGCGGCGTTGACAACGAGACAGCGCTCAAAGAGCGCGATAAAGAAGGCTGTAAAGACGATTCGACAGTCAGCTCTGACGACGAAGGAAGCGAAGTCGTTGAACACTTGGGATTGGATTGAAGTCAGTTTCGACCTTGTCATCCCTTCGCCTCATTTGCTGCGTTGTGTATAGGACCTACTCATCGTGCTCATGGACCCGGAGTCGACGACATGGCCAGCGATGGCAAAGTGCTTTCCGGGCCACTCTCCTCACGACTGTCGCCAACGCTTTCACAGCTTGGGAGCAACAAACACGGGACGCTGGAGCAAGCTCGAAATTCTGTGGCTTTTGTACGCTCTGCACCTCACCAAAGCGATGGGTCGTGGGAGGGCGCTTCTCGTTGCCCGCGTCGTGGGCACCCGGAGGTACCTTACACGATGGACGCGCGGGTTTGACAGCTTGTGCTGTAGCTACCGGCAAGTGATGTCGAAGGTAGCAGCTCTGAAGAAGAAGGGGCCGGTGGTTGAGCTGACGTCGGAGCCAGCCGAGGCAACCGAAGAGCAAAAAGCGGCGATCCACGAGGCACAATATCAGGCGCCAACCATGCTTTCGGGGACAACCAACCTGCGCACGACGTGGGCAGATGTTACGGTCGACGACGTCGATGCATTTTTGAGCGAAATGCCTCTTTGGGACGAGGCGGTGCCTTCCACCGTGGACACCAGCGGTGTCGTGTCGACGACCTCGACGACGGACGACGTCTCGATGTACGATATCGGGTTTCAAGAGCCCTGCGCGCAGGAGAATGTTGCGCCCTTCGAGACCACCACGCCCGTACACGTCGCCACTGGGAGCACCGACGACGCCGACGCCGACTGGCTCTGGAAGGCACTTCTGTCCAGCCGCCACGCGCAGCACGTGGCCTAGCTCGGCTTTACCAACGACATTCATAACTCAGTCTCTATATACATGCCTTTTTGAATAGCTTACTACAGACGATTCGTACACGCGCGTCGAACTAGTGCTCTTTCGTCGTGGTCTCGAGTACCTGCTAACTGCTAGTGCAATGTGAACAACCTCGTCCGCTGTGCCCAGGTCGAGGTTGCGTTTTACTAGGTTAAAGTTATGGGTTAAAGTGGATTTGTTTTGGGTGTTTCTAGCCAGATTTCCATTTTCATTCATCATGTCTCTCGGGTTCCTCACCGAGTCGGCGCTCGTCCCGTCCAAGGCCAAGGCGATCAAGGTCGACTCCAAGTCGATCGTCGACCTCAAGGCAGTCGTCTTCCGCGAGCAGGAGCGCAAGAAGGCGGCGACCGAGGCCTCGGGGCTGCGCTCGAAGCGCGGTGCACGGGCCAAGGAGCTCCAAGCGGGCAAGAAGTCCGAAACGAACGCCGGCGTCGAGAAGCGGCGCCAGCGCGACGAGGACGAAGAGGCCCTCGGCGACGACGAGCGCGCCAAAAAGAAGCGGTCTCGACAGATTCTCATTGAGAAAGCCAAGCTCTACGATCAAATGGCCCGTGGCGAGCGACTGGCGACCGGCGATGTGCTCATCAACTTTGACGCCAAGACGACCCATCGTGACCACGAATTCACCGAGGCCGCACCCAAGCCCGCGGTTAACGACGGCGAATGGGTCGAGATTGTCGACGAGTTTGGCCGGACCAAGAAGGTGACCAAGCGCGAGTACGAAGCCTCGTTGCCACCGCCACCGCCGACCGAGGGCTCGAAGAGCGTGGGCAGCTTTGTCGTGTCGCAGTGGGAGAAGACGCTCAACTCGCAGGAGAAGAGCTACTTGACCGAAGTGCACGCCGAGGCGCAGCATGCCAAGCTCACGCTTGCCGACAAGAAGCGGCAGAAGGAGCTTCGCCGCGAGAAGCTCAAGCTCGCCTTCAACAACACGAGCACGCCGGCCGTCGCGCCATCGAGCACTATCTCAGCCCAAGCCTCGCGGGACGCATCCGCTTTCTTGTCCAGTCTCTTGTAAGCCTCAAACCAAGTTTGCACCCTGCGACGACTTCTCAATCTCGATCAAGTGTTTGCCGCTATTACCAGCGATTTTGGTTAGCGTCGTCCTATTATTCCATGTCAATCTCATGGTCCAGGAGGAACTAGCCTTCGAGCCGAGTGAATCTCATACTAGGAAAAGGGCTCGGTGCCAAGACGACGACGATTATTATGTGATGCTGCATTGGGGCTTGCCGCTTGTGCATAGTACTAGAGCACGACTCCTATTGTAGACTAGGCGCCTAATGTTGTTGTTGCCACCTCAGTCTTTGTCCAAAGGGTTTGAGATTTGAGTGAAAACTAAAGAGAAGCGAAGCTACTTGTACTAGAACGGAGGCGGGTTGCGGTCGTGACGGCCCCGAAGCTCGACCCACGCGCGTCGTAGGATCGGGTTCAAATCAAGGACCAACTCGGCGGGAAAGCGCCC